ATATGACCTTCAAGTTTTAATGTAACCTAAAATAAATCTATCTGGACCTTGACCATGAGTTGATGTCCATTACTTTTTCAAATTAAGTGATCTGATAAAGCCTCATTTAGAATGGCTGAGGTTTTTGGTTTTTATAAATTTTAGAACTCTAAATAAAAAACTCATTTACTTTCATTTGTTTTTTCAATATATTATCATGATTCTTTGTGAATACGAACAAAAATAGTCCTAATATTATTAAACATGTTTATATATAAAGAGAGATATTAATAGGTATCAATTTGTATTGCAAAAAATTAGGCAGAAAGACACCTTAAAACTACGTCATTTTAATAAAGTACCATGAGAAAAGACTAAAACAATCTTATTTCTACTTTAAAAATTAGGATAATTTAGTCTTTTCAATGGAACTTTATTAAAACAACGTAGTTTTGGGATTTTTCTTGGCAATACAGGCTGATACCCACTTTTATATATATTGTTAATGTTAATACTAGTTTTTAACAAATTGTTAGTTTTTGATTTTTTGTTTTGGTTTTGGTTTTCAGTAGTTGCAAAATTTATGAAAACTAAAACAAAAAACCAAAAACTATAATCATACTAAATGGAGTCTAAACAATCTAGTTAGTACAGTAAACATTACGTATGGTTAGAGTAACATATACCTGGCTGTTTCTACAGTTCCAATTGACAGCTGGGACTACTAGATAATTCACTAACTTATATTTTTCATTGTTGTCCAGGTATTTCTAGATATGGGTACAGATTCTTATACTAATTTTAGTTTCCAAATTTCGTAGCTCCATCATGGAACCATTCAGCTTCGAGACTCAATGATTAAGGTTAATCCAGATCCAGAATCAAGTATTTTCACAAACAATTCGCTGGAAGTAGTTGCAACCAGGTATTTGTCATTATTCTCATGCTAATGTATATTTTGTTCTAACATATGCTTTGAGATCCAGATCCTTTCCCTTTTAATTTTCCTTTCTAAAATCCAGGGGGTTAGTTGCTTTAAAGTATCACAAGATACTGAATCCAGCTAAACAATCCATATTTAGTAGGAAAATTGATGGTAAAAGGTTCTCATTTCTGAATCCACTAAGATATCAGAGTTATTTTGGCCACAATTTGTTGTGGCAATGGCAGTTGATTATCCTGTAACCTTAACCTGTCTTTTCCAATAGTATCCTGACAAAAGCATTCAAAGCACTGTCCAAGTTGGTCTCTGAGTTCAATGAAACTTGGGGATTGAAATCAAGCTGCACCTGGACCAATTATCTTCTTCTGGAAGCGCCAACTGCCATTACTGGGCAGCCAGTGGTTTCCTTGTGAGATTTTGGGCAGGGTAGTCCATTCTTGGCTACTGGGCAACTACGGTCTTCTAGTTGTGTGCAAAGGTTGAAAAGAAACTTGAAGCCTGTATCTCACATCCCTTGTCCTGCTTTAACTGCTTTGATCAACTTGAAGCCTGTGTGTGCATAAGTCCCCTCCACACCCACCCCCCCACCCCCCCAAAAAAAAAGAAAGAAAACCTATGGCTTGTTTTGGTGTCCCAGAGTTTCCTAGTACTTGTCCCAGTAAGAGACTTCCAAAATCATCTTTTGGATTATTGTTTCTTCTGTGGCCAGAAAGACTTTTTACCACCCATGCTTGAGTGGCAATGTGATGTTGCTGTTTTATAATATTTTCACTTAATTTTTGTAACTGCATCTTGATGAATTTATTTTTGATGGATTTGAATTCACTCAGGGAACTCGAATGTTCTGCAACTTTTAGTTTCCACTTACCATGTGGTTTTGTTCATTGTTTCTAAGTTATGTGTTGCAGCAATCGGCCTCGAAGAGTATCTCTCTCAAGGTATTTAATTGCACTTCTTAGCTGTGGAGGTGTGCCAAAAGACTTTTTCATGGACGCATTGAAGAATGCACTAGAAGATGCACAGAGTGCTTTCACCAATAAGCGTGCAGCATTTAGAGGTTATTTTAAGCTTCCCATGGATTCCATCATTTTTATTCCCTTTTTTGAAGCTGAATGTTGTTTAATGTTATTATGTCTTGCCTTGTTTACTCTTTTGCTTCTCTCACCCTATCAACACTGGTTTTAGCACTTTCTAACTCGACTCTGTGATTTCACCCACATGCAGTTTCCCTCAATCGTGGCACAATGGATGGTCTCAATGCAGCAAGAATGATTTCATCTGGAATTCCACTGGATGAATCATTTTTGCAGAATCAATTATTCATAATGTCCAAGGAAGAAAAAAAAGGCCTTAAGGGAGGAAAGATCCCAGTAAATGATTGTTATTATTTAATGGGAACAGCTGACCCTACTGGTATCTTGGAAAAGGGTGAAGTATGCATTATCTTGTACGTAAGATTGGACTCTCAATCTCTTTTATTCTTGTTATTTGTTATTTATGTGATGGTGACTTCATCTCTAGTATCAACTTCACAAATTAAGAAGTTCCTTGTAAAAATTCAAGTTCTTCCTGAATTCACCAAAAAGGAGTAATAAAAGTAATACTTGGGATTATATTAAAATTACCCTTTTTATTAGTAATAATAATAAATAATTTGAATACTTAATTATAGATGTTTGTTGTAGTTGAATAGACAGATTCCCTTCAGCTGTTTATTACTACAATGGTTTCTTTATTGATAAGGTTTGTTGGAGGGGGATTGTTATGGCCACCAAGGAGATTGTTAAGGCCACCAATATTTTATTTTTTTGTTTTGTTAAATTACTTTTTTGTTCATATCTTTTCAACTTTGCCCTCAAACTTGTCTTTTTTGAGTGGGTAAAGAAAAAATTTTACAAAACAAAAAGTCGAATATTGGTGACCTTAACAATCTCTCTGGTGCCCATAACTGGAGCCTTGTTGGAGTGGTGAAAATAGATTTTGGTCAGTATCTAATAATAAAAGACTAAGAAAATAGTTGGTTCATCTCAAATGTAGAATATCATAAACATTGAGTTTGATTGATGGCAGTGTGCCACTTGATACTGTTATGATCATGTAAAATTAAAAGATGTAATAATTAATGACAGCTGATTATTACTTGGGAAAAAAGTGCTTCATCCTAGATTTTTTAGAAGGGAAATAAAACCTATTTTTATGCCAATGCAATTTTCCATTTTTCAATAAAGCTATGTATTGAGCATAGATGATTACTCATAACATTGTCTTCTCTGCTAAATTATTTAGGGACAATGGGCAGATTTCAGGGAAAGTACTAGTATACCGTCACCCTGGATTGCATTTTGGAGATATTCATCTCCTAAATGCTAGATATGTGAAAGAACTGGAAGATTTTGTTGGGCAAGCAAAATATGCTATATTCTTCCCCTGCAAAGGGCCACGGTCTCTATCTGATCAGATGGCTGGTGGGGATCTTGATGGAGACATGTATTTTGTATCCAGAAATTCCCAGGTAAACATTTATCTTGAATTAGTTTCCAATCACACTATTTAAGTTTCCTGAAGTTATTGCTGTGATCTATTCAGTTATTACATTATTTTGAGGAGAGTAGTGACCGTTGGACATCCAAATCTTCACCACGGAGTGTCTCCTATAAAAAGCAAGGTGAACTTTCAGATGGTGAGTTGGAGGAAAAGCTGCACCAACTGTTCTTGAGATCTACTTTTCAACCAAGGTAAACACTTGACTGTTTACCATTTGTTTCCTATGGCTGCAGAAAGTGCTAAGTGATGGTGGGCGTTTTCCCCTGTCTAGTGCCTAGGTTGCCTTAAGTGCTCCTAGGCATTTTTGGTCTTTTTTTTTTTTTTCAAAAGTTCAAAAAAATAAAAAAAACCAAGAAAATGAGGAAATTGAAAGAAATATTTAAAAAATTAGAAAAGTTACAAAAAAGGAAGAAAAACAAAGAAAATATTTTTCTTTCCATTATCATTGTGTGGACTGTGGAGCTGGATTTAAGGCATCAGAAGATGGGACTGCACCAGTTGTGAGGACTGCGGACAAAGTAGAAAGAAAAATTCAAATCAAAGCCCAAGAAAAAATGATATATTCAAATAGGAATCAAAGAAGAAAAAATGATAGATTCTTATCTGTAGGAGTAACAAAGCCAAAAGATAAAGGGTACAAAATTGACAATGAAGAATACAAACTATAGGAGGAAATTCACAATAAAGAATCAAAACATAAAGTTTTCAATAATATTAAAATGGCAGCTGATACAGAAGATAGGCAAAGCATTGTAGCATTAGTAGAGGGGGAGGATGAAGCAAAGGGCAATTGGAATGACAAATTAAGGTTTTGTCTATCCATTTGCTATTTATATAGCCTATCACTATTTGCTTATTTTTTTTTAGTTTTTAAAAGTTTTTACATTAAAAACAAATGACATCGTTTTAGATATCCAAAAAATGGGAAAAAAAAAAAAATGCCCAGGCACAATTAAGTGCGCCTAATAGCGCCTAGACGTCCTAGGTATTGCCAACGACCTAACTTGGCTGCCTACAGGCCAAGGCAGGCAGAATGACACTGCCTAGGCACACTTTTTACTACCATGTTGTTTCCAGGAATAAACTGATAACTCAGTTGTGCTTGAATTTGATTGTAGAAATGGTTTTTATGTTGAATTCTAATGAATGTAATAGTTGGGTTTCATCCACCCTAGTGTATGTTATACCATTCTCACACTGCCGAGTAACTCTGTAAAATATTGTACAATATTATTAGACCAAATGATTGATTTGATCCATTGTAGACTGTAAGGAAATATGTTTAATGTGGAATGGTATAAGAATTTTGGTGTAAGCTTATCCTTCATCTTGTGGAATACACAGTTCTTATCAAAAGATGATTATCATCTGAAGTCATATATATACATAAAGACATAAATATTCTTCCCTTTTCCATTCTCAATCTATTGTCAGGTTTTGTAGAATGCTGTACTGTATTCAAACAACAAATCAAAATTGTCTAGTATTATTATAATAATTGTTAAATCATGTTTTAGAACACCCTTCATTACTAACCTATTTTTCAGCAACCAAGGAGCAGTCTGGCTTTGGTTCTTAATGTGTATAGTAAAAAACATGTGTGGTATAAAATATGAAATAACTTAAAGTTACTGGTGCTAATGTTGAATTTGTTGTCTGATTTCAGTTCCAGTATTGGTGTGGCAGCTGATAGTTGGATGGCAATAATGGATAGGTATCTTACACTGGAAGATAGTAACCTTACCGAGAAAGCTCATATGAAGGAAAACATCCTTCTCTTAATTGATATCTACTATGATGCCTTAGATGCGCCGAAAAAGAGTGGAGAACAGGTAAATTAAATAAATTGCTTGATCATTTGTCAAATATTAATCTATTTTGAGTTTGCATTTATTGAAGAATATGGGTAATTGTCAAATTTGCTATATCAAGTGGCTGACTTTCTTTGATAGTCAGCCTGAAATTAGCTATTTTTGGTGCTTTAGAGAGTCTATGATGTTGCATTAGGTGGCAATGCATTTCTGCTGAAGTGATATAATATTAACCATCATTCTCTGAGGCATATAATGGTTACTGACTGCAGCAAGGCATGACTTTGAATCTCATACTGAAATGTTCTTCCAACTATTTTTTCTTCATAATCTGACTTGTCATTGACCAGTTTGTTTCCTATTTAATTTTTTGAATGTTTTCCAACAAACTAGCCATGCATTTCCTTGAAAGAACATTTTTTCGAGCATTATTTGCATTGGCATACTTCTATGTAAATGTTGCTATCAGGAACATGTGGGCCATTTTTGGTGCCATGTTGGGTGACAAGTTCAAGAGTTTTGATTTTAGTCTTGAAAGCAGCTAATTTGACAAAGTGTTTATGGTTGGGATATATATATATATATTTTTTCAGTTCATCACTCCCAAAACTATACTTCAGTGAGATCAAACTGTATAATGACCATTTATTGACAATATAATTTTCAAGGAGTTAAGCCACAGCCATTTGCACCATAAAAACCCACAAAAACACTCACTTTTAACGTGTTGCTTATCTTAGATTCTTCACTTGTGCCACAAACTTGAGTTCATTCTGGAATAGATGAGTGATATGACTTGCCATCTTCTGTATGGAAAGGGCAACATTTGAAATTTCTTTACCCTTTTACCTACTGCTCAACAGATTGAAGTTCCTGAAGAACTAAGGGTAAAAGTGTTTCCACACTATATGGAGAAGAAAGAGAACTCTTACAAATCGACATCAATTTTGGGGACAATATTTGATTTTGTGGAATCATATGGAGAAGAAAAATTCTCACAGAAAGGTAATGAATTGGAGAATTGGCTTTTTTAAGATCAGCCAGCATAAACTGCAGTTCTTTTGAATCCCATTTTTACTTGGCCTTCCTTTGGAATCCCTTTTTGATGTTATGTTTTAATTTTTTATTTTTATCGTTCAATTTAAGTTAAGTTGAAGGGAGTGCAAACAAAAGTTGTAACATTCTCAAGTTTTTTATTCTGTTCAGAAATTCGAAAGCTTCCCTCTTTCATGGTCAACACTCCAGAAGTGGAGGCATTCAAAGAGAAGTGGAAGGAACTGTACGAGAAATACCGGAAAGATATGAGCAATGCTTTAAACCACAGTGGAAAAGAGAGGAATGATGCTGCTGACGAAGTCATAAACTACTATAAGCAGGTAATAGCGTGTGCGTCGTTCCATTTTTTATCATATACTGCCCCATTCTCATCACTGTGGAAACATGCTGATCTTTACTTGCTAAATTCTGCTTTTGCCTTAGCTACTATATGGTGCTGCAGAGTTTGAAGAGAGTAAAAGGCCTCTAAGAGAAATCTATGACGAGGCTTTAGCCATTTATAATGTTACATATGACTATGCCATTGAAAAGAGAGAGGTGAAAAGATGTGGTTTTGCCTGGAAGGTTGCTGGTTCGGCTCTTTCCAAACTATATACTTCTGAGTTGGGTGAAAAGCCCTTATGTTGTGCACCATCAGTTCTTAAGGAGTTGTTCAGTTGAAGAGGCTGTGGTGTAAAGCTTGTGTCATATGTATAACAATGGGCCATACGTACTTGGGTTCAAAGAAATGTTCCATGATGTATTACTGTTTTTATTATTTATTTATTTATTAGCAATTAGAGTGTCTCCAGCTAAGCTTGTAGGCATCTCAAGGTTAATCCTTCCTTGATTTGTTTGAAGACAGTCTATCAACAGTAACACTAAAGAATTTATAAGAAATTATCTCATTATTAGTTTTTTCAAAAAACTAAATTTTGATAAATAAAGTAAAGCGTTGGTCGTTTTTATCAATTAAGTCATAAGTTATAAGTTATTGGGTTTATTTTTTTCTTTAAAAAAAATAAAAAAGGAAAAAGGAATAAGAAGAAGAAGAAGAAGCAAGGTCATTAATCTCAAGTGGGCGAACCAAGGAAATCAAAAACCAAACTCAAAAGCTCTGAATTTCTACTCATATGTATAATTCAATTGTTAAAGACTTACACTCATTACTTGGAATGCTTGTTGTTCATTAACTCCTTTGATTTGAGGGAATCCTTTTTTCTCATTTGGTTATATTAAAATTATGGATTTTGTTAACTTGGACCTTTAGAATATAGGTTAAAGATGTATTAAATACATCTTTTTGTTGTAAATGGACATAAAAAAATGTAAAATTTTGTATTAATTTTAGTATCACATGAATTTAATTGGATAGTTAATAAATTAAATATTAATATTTATTTTTTAATATAAATTTATGACAAAAATATATACTTAATATATTCTTAGAACACAGATTAAACAAAGTTATAAATGGAGTTTGAAAGAATCTCTTTTCCTCCCCTTTCTTTCACTTTAATTTTTATTATTTAAATAAGAAAATTTATCTTTTTCCTTTTACCTCAAATCAAACAAATTATTATTATCACAAATAATAAACAAAAATAGTTAGTTTGGAATTATTATCTTGTAACTATAGTTGTAAATTTTTTGGTCTTTCAGTATGTAAAAATATATAAAATATATTTAATATATTTAATATTTATTTTGATTAATGTTTTATTTATTGTTAGGGTAACAAAAAGACAAAAAAATAAAAAACTAAGAAAAGCAGAAGCCTGAAAAGCATTCCCAAATAAAGTCTATGTTTTCTAGCTTGGATGTTCCTCCCTGTGCACAAGGAACTAATCCACATCCATTGCACAGACCAAGGTCCAGGGTCCTGGTTATGCCAAAGCGAAACCATTCAAGCACCCTTTTCAATGCCATTTTCGGTATTTCACACTCAAACAAGCGTTCCAAAGGTCTTTTCCTATGAATGACAGAAAATACAAAGCGGATCTATGGACTATGGCCAAGCCTTTATGAATTTGGTGAACCTTTGCCTTCAACTTTCTTATGCTTACCTTGTCTCAACTCTCTTTGCCCCCGGAAATAACCATCAGGTGTGTCATGCACAATTACAGAGAAATGTCCAGTAGATAAGCATGTCATCATCCAATGCACAAAATACTCAGGGGAGTTCAAACTTCATATTAATCAGAATATGTTTCAAAGAGCTCCATTCAACATAATCGTATAATTTCCTTAAGTCAATCAAACATCTTGGTACACCATTAGTCAACGGTTGTTCCTCACCAAATCTTGGCATATCAATATCTCAGACAAATTACAAATGCACCTTGGTTATGTCTTTTGATCCTAACCAAAGGTTTTTGTTAGGTATTTCTACTTAGGGCCTTTTAATGTATTTCATTGAATTTTGCTTATAGTAGATAATGAAGACAGTATAGATTTGAGGTTAGGTAGATTTAATTCAATTGCAATATTTTTTTTAATTATTGATAACATAATCAAAAGATAGAGTCCTTAACTAATCTTTTACATCAAAAGTTACAATAACTAATTATCTACATTAAAAAGTGTGATTGAGTGCTAAAAAAATGTGATACAATAGGTGTGGTTGTCAAAGACAACGGAAAAACCCAAAAATAACCTTTCTATGTGTCTACTTTTTATGTGTTAACACAGTCCTGTTGATATTTCGAGACTCCCAACACTAGTGGTGCCATGTTGTTGGCCACCCATACGTGATCTCATCTTACATCACAAGCATGTGGTACCACAGCTCACGTCATGCTGCCTGGCCACTCACGTCTAGCTCCCATCTTCATCAACATCATCATCATACATCTCATGGGCAATCATACACAGGGCCAACTTTAGCATCAAAGCTAGCTCCAGCACCAAGGCCAGTTTCCCAGTCAAGCTTTCCACGATGGATATTTCTTCTTTTCTCACGACACTCTTATGTTATTTCTTATCATACGTGGTGAATGTGAGAAGAGATACGGTAAAGTGAATTACAAAACTATACAATATTTCAAAGGTGTAATATTTGTACATTCTCTGCTTTGTCCATGAACAGAAAGAAGTAAATGAAAAGTAGTATTCTTTCACTCAGTTCTGCACCAATAGATCAACGCTTCACCCATTGGAAGCTTTTTCTTGCTTTCGCCTTTCCTGGTTTTTTCCGTTCCACCACACGGGAATCCCTTGTCAAGAAACCATCTGATATCGACTAGCATTTCAGTTATATGGCCATAAAATGTAAACAAAGAATAATATGAAAATTTTGACCCTGCCGAAGCCTAAATGAGAACAAGAAGGTTAAAACCTCATTTTAATCCCTCTAGTTTAACCAAAAGTTTTTTTTAGTTCCTCTATTTAAGAAAATTCTTTTTTAATCTCTAAAGTTTATTATTCGATCTCTTTTTATTTCCTCTGTTATTTATTTATTTATTTTTTGGTATATGTAGTGTGTTAGATAATGAAAATTTTAAAGTATAAGGATTAAAAAAGTCCCTTTTTAGTCTTTTACTTTAAAAAAATCTTTTTTAGTTCCTTTATTTTAAAATTTTTGTTATTTAATGTGTTACATGTATAAAAAGATAATAAAGAGACTAAAAAGGAGGTGGATAATAAACTTAAAAAGAGGTCGGATAATAAATTTTAAGGACTAAAAATGAACTTTTTTAAGTAAAAAAACTAAAAAGAAATTTTTTAGTAAAATAGAGGGACCCAAATGGGGTTTTAAGCGAACAAGAAAGAGGGGAGCTATTGCTATTTGCTACATACATTCACAGTAAGTTTCCTGCATAGGGGGGATAACATGCCAATTATAGAATGTTAAGGCACTAAACACAGACACAGGGAAAGATATAGCAGTACCAGCTCTGAGAGGAGAACGCAAGTCAGGTTCCCAGTTTTGCAATGCCCTGCTGATGCATAATTGAATTGCTCCAACTTGACCTGTCAAAGAACAGAAAACAAAGTTACTGATCATGGAAGCAACTACTAAATGAGGATAATAAAAAAAGGTAGCAGAGTCCTCCAACGTGGTGGTTGCCACTTCAGCTGTAGTAGCAAGGTCTTGGTTTGAACACGTGGGACATCCATGGAACTTGCTGTTTTGGTTTAGGCAACTAAGGAGAAGGCTAAACCCAGTGGGTAGCCCAATCATTAAATTGCTTTGGCTGCTTCTTCCTGTTTCAGGCGTTCTATTTCAGCCCTTGCGGATTTTCTTGTATTCTTTTCATAGTGCATGTCTTCTATTTCACGGAGAGGGGGCAAGCCATCAACCCCCTCTAAGTCTCTCAATGCAATCAAACTGTCCAACATTGCATCTGTTATACCAGATGCTGCAATAAGATCACCAAATGCACGATTTGGACCAGCAATAAGACTTGTCTAATCAGCAAAAGGTACAAACACGGCCCATAAACATAACTTAAGTGATACCAATCACCTTAACACATGTGAATTGCAGAATTGTTTATTTAAAGATAGAGAAATGAGAGATGAATATCCACCTTCAGAAACATACCCTTCATCAAGCATTTCCATAAAACAGTTCAACTGTTAAGCCCATAATTAAAGCTTTTATTACAAGACATCTTTCTTATTTATTATAAGAGTATTGATGTTCTCAATGAGGTGAGTTTCCAATGTCTACCATTAATGAATGTCAAGTAAAAATTGGAGACATCTATTTATCAGACTTCTGATAATTTTTAATATCAATTTCAGTAAGAGGCCAGAGAACATGGATCAGATTAAAGTGTATCCCTTTATTGCTAATGAAAACCGTAAAGCTAAGCCAATATTCCAAATAAGAATGACAGAACCGGAGGTGAATATAACACAGGGAATCTACAAGCCCTACAAGCCTCCAATCATGTAGATCCCAGTGTCAAGTCAATAAAAAAAATCGTCACTGGTTATTAGACTCTAAAAGTTTCTACTTTTTTTTTTCTTTATTTCTCTCTTGCTCTATCATTGTATACCAGGCTTGGTGCATCCTGTGATTAATAACTAATATCAAATCTAAAATCTTTATGAACCACATGGGCAGGAAATGCAAACTTAACACTGGAGTATTGACCCAGAACATGAATAACAGAATATTACCCAACCACACTGGAGTATCACCCGAGTACAAATTTGTCACTACATATTAGAAATTGCTTAAATCTATAAATTAAAGTGGCCTCAATTCCAATCTCAAATTATAAATTTACAATGACAAGCAAATAGTTAAGTTCATGCAGTTGCATATTCAGTTGCATCAAAGAAAGAAGTAACAACCGGATACATAAGCAGCTATATAGGTCTCCTTCCGCACTAATTGATGTGATTCAAATGAATGTTCGAGACAGAGTATTGGGGTTTGCAAAGGAAAGATCTTCTCCCATGCCAAGGAGAATTGCAACTCAATGGGGATTGGAAAATTTATGTACAGATAGAGTTTAAACACACTGAAGTTTAGAAATTTTATGTAAAGCTAGAGTTTCATTCTTTGCACTGACATTAATAACAGCCTTAATCAATAGAGCTGCTTTGTGTAAATTTTGGTATTTTTAGTAATATATTCACATTTTAACAACAATGGTATATTAGAAAGTTATGCATGAAAAAGTAATAAATCTAATGGGCAATAAGCTTGGCTTTAACTATAGCAGTAAGCTCTTTCTCCTCTTTCTCAAGTCTCATCTGCTTCTCAGCCTAAGCTACACCAACATCATGTTCAACCTCTCCAAAATTGAAGATATCCTTCTCCTCTTCCCCAAGGCTCCATGGCTTGTCCCCCCTCTGCAGTCAACAAATCCCCTTCACCACTCTTCTCTCCACCCTCCTCAATTCCCTTAAACACATCACCTTCTTCTCCATCTCTAGCATTCAACCAAGATTCATCCTTGATGCTAGAGTCAATTCCACCGAAGACATTGCCTTCATCCCCACCTCTGGCATTCACTCAAGATTCTTCCTTGACGGTAGACTCAATTCCATCAAATACATTGCCTTCATCACCTCGTCTGTCATTCACGCACGAGTCTTGCCTGCGGGTGGAAGACTCAGTTTCAGTGATTCCAGAAAGGTTGGCAGAATCTTCTGAGAAGAGTGAATCAAACTTTTCCTCACCTTCCTGAGAAACCGTCCAGATGCTGGGAAATGATTGGTCTTTGCCATTATTGTTGTTGTGATTGGATGAGAAGTGTTTCAAGAGGGAAGGGAAGATAGGATTTTGAGTAGAACGGGGAAAAGCTTGGGTTCTCGAAGAAATCAGAGTTACGAGACGGAAATGGGAGGGTTTTGGAAGGAGGCGACTGAACATTTTCTGTTCTTAAGAGTTACGAGACGATTTGGTCTCTAAGTTTTGATTTTTCCGGCCGCGGCGACGGTGGTAGGAAAAGAGACGGCACGGGACTACCGAAGGCGGTAACTAGGGCGGCGCAAACGGTCGGTTAATCAAATGGATAATAAAAAATTACTAAAAAATTAATTAAATGATTAGAAACAAATAATTATTATTTTTAATTATAATTAGATAACC